GTACAAAACTTAAAGGTCTCACACTCTTGAGTCTTTTACCTTTGACGCTCCAACCCCTTAATTTTTTTTGGCTCCTGCTTCTGTACTTTTTCCAACTCTGCAATATCGTGAATGGGCTACGGCAACCAGAACTGTACACACTCCTGCAAATGAAGCTGTACCATAGCTCTGCACAAGGGAAATACAGAGTCTAGTGGCACCTTTAAGACCAACAAAGTTTTATTCAAGGTATGAGCTTTTGAGTGCATGCACACTTAAAAAAAATCAATTTTGAAAAAATGTGTGTGCACACGAAAGCTCATACTGTGAATAAAACTTTGTTGGTCTTGAAGAAGACGTAGAAGGAAGAGGAGGAGGAGATTGGATTTATACTCTGCCCTTCACTACCCAAAGGAGTCTCAGAGCGGTTTACAGTCCCTTTTCCTTCCCCTCCCCACAACAGACACCTTGTGAGGTAGGTGGGGCTGAGAAAGCTCTCCGGAGAACTGCCCTTGAGAGAATAGCTCTGAAAGGTCTGACTGACCCAAGGTAACACCAGCAGCTGCATGTGGAGTGGGGAATCAAACCCAGTTTTTCCAGATTAGAGTCCGCACTCCTAGCCACTACACCAAACTGGCTCCCTTAAAGGTGCCACTGGACTCTAAATTTGTTCTATTGCTTCAGACCAACACAGCTGACCAACTGGATCTATCTACAAGAAAAATACAATATTGGCCATTTTATATTCAGTACCTTTCCTAATAATCCCACCACGGAGTTTGCCTTTTTTTTCCAGGGTCCCAATAACTCAGTATCAACAAACAGTCCTTGAACAAGAAAAGTTTTATTGATCAGAGAGATGGAATGCCTTGCACTCAGGAATAAGGGTATTCAAAATGGGTGCCACTGATATACAGGTTTCATACACGGCTCCCTGACACCTGGAAGCCAATAAGGAATTAACAGCAACCGTGGGGAAGATCTAACGGTCCAAGCTAGAAGCGGGAAGAGGCTACATTCTCGGGGCTCTAAGCGCCTAGGCATTCAAGGTCAGCCAGCTGCTGTGGGGGGAAAACAGGCGAGGCAGACAAACCTTTCTCCTTATGGTGAGCTCACCCGACACCTTTTCCCTTCTGCCACACATTTTGATCAAGCTGCCCACTACAACCCCAAGATCTCTTGCCCGCTCGGGCTCCACTTGTTCAGACCCATGAGCACACATTTAAAGTTGTGATCCTTTGTTTCAGTGTGGGTCTCCTTGCATTTATTTATTTTAAACATTTTTATCCCACCCTTCGAGGTGGATGTTGTCAAAGCTAGCCTTGCTTTGGTGTGGTACTGTAACCAAAGTTAAACACAAGTAAGTTCAAGTCACTCCCTGGTAACTTACATGAAAATGAAGTTAAAAAGCTTCATTAAAGAAATTTAGAAAAAAGTTATATAGGCCCCGGTCACACGGGCAGGAAACTGCAGAGGAGAAGCGTGGCTGTTTGCCCTGGGGCAGTTTGCCTTTTTCACTTCTGCCACACACTGAATCAACATTTTGATCAAGCTGCCCACTACAACCCCAAGATCTCTTTTCCTCTGGGTCTCCACTAGTTCAGACCTATGTGCACACATTTAAAGTTGTGCTCCTTTGTTTCAGTGTGCATCTCCTTACACTTATTCAGTTTAAACATTTTTATCCCACCCTTCCACCCAAATAGGGCCTTCCAGGTGGATGTTGTCAAAGCTAACCCTGCCTTGTTGTGGTAATGTAACCAAAGTTAAACCCAAGTAGGCTCAAACTCCGTGGTAGCTTCCATGAAAATGAAGTAAAAAAGCTTTATTAAAGAAATTCAGAAGAAGTTACATAGTTCAGTGGAGTCATAATGCATCTAAAATAACAGAAGGCTAACAGCTGTGCTATTTATGCTAAAGGCAGCACTGCTGGTTGCTACAGCTGAAGCATGATGTTCCAGAGCTTACACAAAGTACCTTCAAACAAACAACATGGTGGTTGGTGGAGGAAAGGGAATAGGAAGGGAATAGGAAGGGAATATCCTCTCTCTCTCTGCTTTAGTCCATAATATAGATACTGCTGGCCATAACCTCCTGACCTTCTCAACCAATTACAGGGCTGTCTCGATGGAACTTTCTGGGGCGAGAGTGAGCTCTCTCTTCCCATATCAGATTCATGCTGAAATGTGTGGACTAATAAACAGGCTCCCGAGATTACCTTGACAAGTAATCCATCAGTCAGGCGGGGGATTGGCTGACACCTGCAAACAGTCAGATTGCCAGAAGATGATAGCTTTAGTTGGAATTTTCCTCTAAGATGGCTTCTCTCCTGACATATTTAGCAGTATTGAGCCCCACTTGTCATGTTGTTGCCTGGTCACCCACCTCAATAATTCGGTATTATCCACAAACTTTGCCACTATTTTGCTCACCCCCAATTCCCTGATCATTTATGAGCAAATTCCTCAGGGGTGGTGTATAGTGGCTCCCCAGGTCTATTTCAACTTGGGAAACTGGTATGCGGGGTCAAAACTTATGTCCTTTCTCCAAGCACTATAGTCAGGCCCGTAGCTAGGACCTTTCTAGTGGGGGGGCCCTGGGGAAAGTGGGGAGGCCGGTGATGCCACACCCCCTGACATCACCAGAAGTGTGCTTCAGCCCCTCTGACAGGCGGAAGCGCCTGGGATCCATCCCCCCCTTCCCTTTGCCTCTGTCAGCGAGCTGCCAAAGAGTTCTGTGTACCATTTTTACGCTGGGTTCCCTTCCCCCCCTCTCTCCTGCCCGCAGCCTGGTGTGCGCATTCCTTTCCATGAACGCTAGTAGCTAGCTCGCAACATAGCTATCTTTCCAAGGTCGAGCAGGTGTGAAGACTCAGTGGTGTCTATTGCTGTTATCTATAATGAGCTAGTGCTTGAGAACTTTGTCTAATGAAGCCGTTGAGCTCCCAGGCTTTTCGGCGCGAAGAAAACAGACCCGTGGAATGCGGGAACCAAACCTATTTGTTAACCTGTTGGACTCCTCGGAAGCGGTTGACAGGTAAATCGCTTCCCTCCCGGTTCCTATACGGAAGAGAGGCTTCTGTGTCTGAAATGCCACATTAATAATTCCATCCTTAGAAGAGCTACCATTTTCTATGCCCATTGGCTTCAACGGACTGATCAGAAGGGTATCACTTCTTGGGATGACACTGCAGGCCTCTCGGGGTTTTATTCCAGCACGGCAAAGAACTATTAGCTAGAAAGCTGCAGTAACAAGACAAAGCTATAGAATGTGGGGGTGGGGTGAATGAGCGAGGATACGAATCTGCCTGCAGGAGCCTCTGGTTCGGTGTCTGCCTTAAAGACCTAGTTTGCTTCTTCGTGTGGATGTCACTCATGTTCATGCTGTCTTCTTCTCCAGAGATCACGTAGCAGAAGTGCGCTACCGGCTACAACAACAGTGCCTATGGGATTGGCATAAAAGGCAGCAGTGCATATGGCAGCGCATACGGTAGTTACTGAAAACTTTTTCGAGTCAGCCTGCAGGGAACAAAAAAGAAGAAGAATTGGTTTTTTATACCTCAGTTTTCTCTGCTTTAACTTTCCCTCTCGGTCTCCACTTGTTCAGACCCATGAGCACACATTTAAAGTTGTGATCCTTTGTTTCAGTGTGGGTCTCCTTGCATTTATTTATTTTAAACATTTTTATCCCACCCTTCGAGATGGATGTTGTCAAAGCTAGCCTTGCTTTGGTGTGGTACTGTAACCAAAGTTAAACACAAGTAAGTTCAAGTCACTCCCTGGTAACTTACATGAAAATGAAGTTAAAAAGCTTCATTAAAGAAATTTAGAAAAAAGTTATATAGTTCAGTGGAGTCATAATGCATCTAAAATAACAGAAGGCTAACAGCTGTGCTATTTATGCTAAAGGCAGCACTGCTGGTTGCTACAGCTGAAGCATGATGTTCCAGAGCTTACACAAAGTACCTTCAAACAAACAACATGGTGGTGGATGGAGGAAAGGGAATAGGAAGGGAATAGGAAGGGAATATACTCTCTCTCTCTGCTTTAGTCCATAATATAGATACTGCTGGCCATAACCTCCTGACCTTCTCAACCAATTACAGGGCTGTCTCGATGGAACTTTCTGGGGCGAGAGTGAGCTCTCTCTTCCCATATCAGATTCATGCTGAAATGTGTGGACTAATAAACAGGCTCTTGAGATTACTTTGACAAGTAACCCATCAGTCAGGCAGGGGATTGGCTGACACCTGCAAAAAGTCAGATTGCCAGAAGATGAGAGCTTTAGCTGGAATTTTCCTCTAAGATGGCTTCTCTCCTGACATATGTTTAGCAGTATTGAGCCCCACTTGTCATGTTGTTGCCTGGTCACCCACCTCAATAATTTGGTATCATCCACAAACTTTGCCACTATTTTGCTCACCCCCAATTCCCTGATCATTTATGAGCAAATTCCTCAGGGGTGGTGTATAGTGGCTCCCCAGGTCTATTTCAACTTGGGAAACTGGTATGCGGGGTCAAAACTTATGCCCTTTCTCCAAGCACCATAGTGTTTATCCAAACTGGGCCGATGTGTACCTGGGAGACGTGGAATTCTAGAAGATGTCTTTGTAACATATGAATCGTCCCTTGGGTGAAGGTATAAAGTTATTCTCCACCTTTTGCTTGTTATTCTGTTTACCTTGTTTGTTGTCAAAACCCAGGGCCTTTTTTTGTAGCAGAAACTCCTTTGCATGTTAGGCCACACACCCCCAATGTAGCCAATCCTAATGAGTTTCTGCTGTTGGGTGTGGCCTATTATGCTAATGAGTTCCTGCTGGGCGTGGCCAACTTGGGAGCCAGCCGGAACTCCGTTCCTGTGCGTTCCTGCCCAAAAATAACCCTGGATTCTTACAGAAAGAGGGCTGAAACATTAATAATTCCATCCATAGAAGAGCTACTATTTTCTATGCCCATTGGCTTCAACGGACTGATCAGAAGGGTATCACTCTGCTTGGGATGACACTGCATGCCTCTCGGGGTTTTATTCCAGCACTGCAAAGAACTATTAGCTAGAAAGCTGCAATTACAAGACAAAGCTATAGAATGTGGGGGTGGGGTGAATGAGCGAGGATACGAATCTGCCTGCAGAAGCCTCTGGTTCAGTGTCTGCCTTAAAGACCTAGTTTGCCTCTTGGTGTGGATGTCACTCATGTTCATGCTGTCTTCTTCTCCAGAAATTATGTAGCAGAAGTGCGCTACCAGCTACAGCAACAGTGCCTATGGGATTGGCGTAAAAGGCCGCAGTGCATATGGCAGCGCATACGGTAGTTACTGAAAACTTTTTCGAGTCAGCCTGCAGGGAACAAAAAAGAAGAAGAATTGGTTTTTTATACCTCAGTTTTCTCTGCTTTAAGGAATCTCAAAGTAGCATACAATCACCTTCCCTTCCTCTTCCAACAACAGACACCCTGTGTGGTAGATGGGGGTGAGAGAACTCTGAAAGAGCTGTGACGGACCCAAGGTCACCCAGCTGGCTTTATGTGGAGGAGGGGGGAATCAAACCTGGTTATCAAGATTAGAGTCTGCCGCTCTTAACTACTACAGCCCATTGGCTCTTGGGGGTTTTCATTGTGGATATGCATTTATTTCCACATTAATAAAAAAGGACCCCCCCCAAAGGACCCCATCTGTTATGTTTGTTAATAAAAACAAATAGGAATAAGCAGCAAGGGGGGGGAGGTCATAGTTTCTCTGCACTTTGCTTTTAGTGGTCATACATTTTGTCTAAACTGTAACCCTTTCTTCAGTCTGTCTGAAGTGTGGCTGAGAAGATCCTTTAGATGAGGAAGTACCATTGCTGAAGTTACCCATGTTGGATGGAAAAAAATCACATCCAAATCTTTCTACTGAAGCCCTGGAACCAAGAATGGCTGTAACAGAATAATGAAAATGAATTGAACTTTTGGAGTAGAAACAAATACCAATTCCTATTCCAAAATGTCAATTCCTATTTATGCTGGTGTTTCCATTCCCTGAACAGTGCCACAGTTGAATTTTGCTGAAATTTGATGCTGAAAATGAAATCTCTCCAATTGGTAATTATCCATTTCCACTGTAAAACTCAGTACAATAAAAGCTTTGTTATGCGGCACTCCTGGAGAGTGGAGGATGCCAGCTCTTCAAATGTGCTGGTGAACAGAGCTGGTGATGGCCAAGGCCTCACTCCTGGGCCTTTGCTGGCCTCGGAACAGAGTGGGGAGTGGTTTGGCAAGTAAGCTAAGTTTAGGATCAAAGGCTCCTAAGTAAGCTCAATAGTCACAGGATAAAAGGACAAGTCCCTTTGTGTATCAAAAACTGGCTAATTCATAGGAAACAGAGAGTGAATATAAATGAGCAATTTTCTCAGTGGAGGGTGGTAAGTAGTGGGGTACCACAAGGATCAGTACTCGGTCTGATGCTTTTTAACTTGTTTATTAATGATTTGGAATTGGGAGTAAGCAGTGGTGGCTACATTTGCAGATGACACGAAGTTGTTGAGGGTGGTGAGAATAGGGTTGCCAAGTCCAACTCCAGAAATATCTGAGGACTTTGGGGGTGGAGCCAGGAGACTTTTGTGATGTCACTTCCTGTGATGTCACTTCCAGGTCAAATGGCAAGTGATGTCGCTTCCCCTTTCGATGATGTCTTTCCAGTACACTGCACTGTGGCTAATACAGACAGGCAGTCAGAAGCATCCCTTCCCTCCCTCTCGCTTTTTTTTGGGGGGGTGGGGAGCGAAAGGATGCCCTGAAATGGCTGGCTGCCCTTTAAAGTGAGCAGCTGACAGTCGGATCGCAGGTCACCTGTTAGCAGTATAGACGACAGTCCCTACTCATTTATCCACGGAACTCTGTAAACCATTTTCTACAGTGGAACTGTAATGTATCCGCCATTACCACGTGCGCGACCGTTGGGCCATGCGGTCAAGCACAAGCCCATAGCTTCGTACCTACAGAACAATAGCGGAGCGGATCCTAGCCCGCACCCAACCAGAGGGCCAGGTCCGCGGCCGAGAGCCAATGGGACTCTCGGCCACTGTAAATAACCTATAGGGTCACTAGGGGGTGTGTTCTGGTGGTGAGACCCGGAGGAGACCCTGCAGCACCGAGCACCGATCACCACCACAGCCGCCTGCCGCCGCCGGGATCATCGCTCCATCGCTCAACACCTCGCTCCGTCAAACCTCGGCCACGTAGCGCCACGCCGTTCACCACGCTTCCCCAACGCTGAGCACGGAAACCGCTCGTCTCGCCACCCGAACTTCGCGACCAACTCGCCCTTCACCACGCCGCCTTGCAGCCCGCTCGACTCTGCCACAAGCGCCATTTTCCGCAAACTCCCGGAGCTCACAAGTGTAAAGCAAACAAGCGCAAACGTCGGAATGTCTACTGCATCCAATGCCTCATCCTCGGGAGCCGCCGCCGCCGCTGGGACCTTCCACGAGGGTATCGCGGCCTTCGACTTGGCACACCCCGAGAGATGGACCACGTGGGTAATGATCCTGAAGAATTACCTAACATGCTTGAGGGTTACCGACGCGGAAACAAAGAGGGCCCACCTTATACGCCTGTGCGGCATGGACACCCTCCTGCTGTTGCGGGGCCTGATTTCTCCCAAGGAGGTCGAGGAGGAAACCTTCGACGCCCTCATCGAGTCCCTCACGGCCCATCTGGCTCCCAAACCGACCAAGTACGCTGCGCGCATGGACTTTTGCGCAAAAGTCCAAACACCGGGGGAGAAGGCAGCGGATTTCCTGGCCAACCTTCGGCAGGCCGCCACGCTATGTGAGTTCCCCAGCCTGGAGGACACATTGTTGACCCAGTTCCTCGTGGGTCTGCGGGATACAAAGCTGAGAAGACGCCTGATCAGGGAAGACGACCTTACGGTGGCCAAAGCCCTAAAGGCCGCAGCGGCCTACGAAACGGCACACCCCGACCGCATCCAGGTCCATCGCACCCAATCCCAGGCAGAGTCAGCCGACTCGGAGGAGGATGAAGTTCAACAACTCCAGCACAAGCCCTCGCAATCGCATCGATCTAGAGGAGCCCAGCCGGTGAGGTCTTCGGAGCCCGCTCTACATTGTGCAAGCTGCGGAGAAGCGCATGAGCGCCGGACCTGCCGTTTCTGAGACGCCACCTGCCGGGCGTGCAATAAACAGGGACACATTGCCAAGGTTTGCCGCGGCCGCCGCCAGCAAGGCAGGAGACCGGTACATCTGACTGAGCCCATCCACACCGTTGACCTACACTCCATCGACCTACACACGGTCTCCAAGAAGCCCCAGCCCCAGGTAGGTGAAATGCTCCGAGACGGCCGAAACAAAATCCACGTTTCGGTCCGTATTGAGGGGTCCCTCTGTAGCATGGAGCTGGATACCGGCTCCGAGTTAACTATAATTTCAGAGGACACCCTGCAGAGGCTCTGTCCCGGAGGGGGGCCCCCTCTGCGAAAGCCACAATTTAAACTACAGGATTTTAATAAGAATCCAGTGGCTATACGGGGCTGGGGCAAATTCAAGGTGGAGTTTCAGGATTTTAACGGATATTTGGACATATTGGTGGTGGGGGGCCGGCTTTCAAGCCTCCTGGGTATGTCGTGGTTCAAGCCCCTGGGATTGACTATTGGGGGGATCCACCAACTACAAAAGGTGGACTTCATGGCGGTGTGTAATGAATTTCCCCGGGTTTTTGATGGGTCCCTAGGCAAATTCACAGGGGCCCCCATCTCCCTGGACCTGGACCCTACAGTCCGCCCCATATGGATCAAGGCCAGGAACCCGCCTATAACGATGAGGCCCAAAATAGAGGCGGAACTCGATAAGCTAGTGGCCCAAAGAGTACTGGAACCGGTGGCGTCTGCACGCTGGGAAACGCCCATAGTCACCCCGGTTAAGCCCAACGGGGATGTTCGGATTTGTGCGGACTACAACTGCACGTTAAACAAAGCACTGCAGGACCACGCGTACCCAGTACCGGTGGTCAGCCATGTGTTGGCAGCACTCGCGGGGGCTCGCATTTTTGGGAAGCTGGACTTGGCGCAAGCCTACCAGCAGCTGCTGGTGGACGCCGCCACCGCAGAAGCTCAGACGATCGCCACACACAGGGGGGCTTTCAGGGTCCACCGCCTCCAGTTCGGGGTTTCGGTGGCCCCGGGGATTTTCCAATCTTTCATGGACTCTCTCCTCAAAGGGATCCCTGGAGTCCAACCCTTTTTAGATGACGTCCTGATCGCCGCCCCCGATGCCGCGTCCTTTACCGACCGTCTCCGCGCAGTCCTGCAACGCTTCGATCACGCAGGGCTAAAAGTGAAGCGCGAAAAATGTCAGCTCGGCGTTCACAAGGTGGAGTTCCTCGGGTTCGAGGTCGACGCACAAGGCATCCACCCGACGACGGAAAAGACGGTGGCGATCTCGAACGCTCCAGCCCCCTCCTCAAAGACTGAACTGCAGGCCTTCCTAGGCCTCCTTAATTTCTACCACTCTTTTCTTCCCCTCAAAGCAGCGGTAGCGGAGTCCCTCCACCGGCTCCTCGACAAGGACGTGCTGTGGGTCTGGGGCCCAGCTCAACAGGCGGCGTTCCAGGCGGTCAAGGATCTCCTCACATCCAACTCGGTCCTCGCTCACTTCAACGAGGACCTGCCGGTGGTGCTGGCCTGCGACACCTCTCCGTATGGGGTCGGGGCAGTCCTGGGGCACAAGCTGGCTGACGGTCGGGAAGTCCCCGTGGCTTATTACTCCCGTACTCTGTCATCAGCGGAGCGCAATTACGCGCAGATTGATAAAGAGGCTCTTGCGATCGTAGCCGGGGTGAAAAAATTTCACCATTACCTCTACGGCCGGCCTTTCACGGTCCTTACGGACCATAAGCCTCTCTTGGGTCTACTTGCCCCGGACCGCCAGACCCCCCAGATGACCTCGCCGAGGGTGATCCGTTGGTCCGTGTTCCTGGCCGGGTACACCTATTCACTCGTCCACCATCCCGGGAAGGCGATGGGACACGCCGACGCCCTGAGCCACCTGCCCCTGCCTTCGACGGAACCAGACCCGGCCCCAGCTTATCAGATCGCCCTTCTGGAGACCCTCCCAGACCAACCTGTCCACGTGAAGGAAGTGGCCCGTCGCACGGCCCGTGACCCAACCCTTTGCCGCGTCCTGGACTGGGTGAGAAGGGGGTGGCCGGTGGTCACGGCAGGGCCTGAATTCACGGCCTACGCAAACCGCAAAGATGAACTATCGACTCACAAGGGTTGCGTGATGTGGGGAGGCCGGGTGGTGATCCCTCCGCCCCTACGAGACCGGGTGCTGGAAGCACTACA